AGCCATTGATCTCATGCCAACTGTCCAGTGTGTCCAAGCTAAGGTGATGTCACCCTTCTATTTTTTTCTACCCCACATAACATGATCTTATGTGTGCAGATGAGGTGTCTGTTCCAGAGGATACATAAATGTTTGTGGGTTTTTTTTTTCAACCTGAGTAGTTTTATCTTCTGTATTTAACTCAGTGACAGATATGAGGAACATAAGATCCTTCAGGATGAGTCTCCCATTTGCCCAACCTAAACACATAGCTTGGAGGCCAATTCTGAATTTCAGTCTTCTAGTTTAAATAACAGTAAATCATTAGGATTCTCTAATGACAATTAGCATTGGATATGCCTTTGCAGACTTACATACAAATGCAACCTCATGGACATGAACAGAAAATTCCAGGGCCCCTACATCTAAATTGCCGAGAATGCCCTATAAAAGGACCTTGTTTATAAAGGGAAAGGCATAAGAGCAGTGCCCTGGACTTCACTATCTTCTTTCAGAATGCTAAGGGCCCCCTTGTCAGTGGGTGCAACCTGCTCCTCTGGGGGTGCCATTGTTGATCCAGAAAGGGATTGAAGCCCCAGATCCATTTCATTGCAAGAGACATTGTGCCTGGTCACCCACACCTGAGAGTGGAACTTTGCAGTCTCCTTTCTTCCTGACCACCTCAGCACGTTCCCTTGGCTGCCTGGCTGTGGAGTACACCTTTGGGTGTCTCCCAGTCCTTTCTCTTTGATTCTCATCAGCTGTGTGTTTAGAACGTTCTCATTTTTTTTGGTGCAGAAGTCTCCCAGCTCATCTCCTTGCCTGCTACTTTGTTTCCTTGTTATGCATCTGATCATGAGTCTTCCCCATTTCAACAGCTCCATGTGATGGTGGCAGTGGTGGTAGTGTGGTGGCTAACATTTATTGAGTGCTTACTATAGTAGGGCCAACATGATTCTAATTTTAGTTTTCCTCAAAGCCTCCTTAGAAAGAAATTACTGCTGAGGTACAAAGACTATATGAGTTTTTCAAAGTCAGACAAATAAGGGGGCCAGGATGGTGCCCCAGCAGTGACGGCCAGCTCTCCACTTGCGTGTAAGAGTCCCTTTAGTTTCAGGCAGGACTCCCTCTCCAGCTCTGCCATTTCTCCCCAAGCAGGTGGAGAGGTTTGCTATCCCTCAGCCTGGCCTCAGACACGCACATGTCTTCCTCCACACTCCTACCACCCTTTCTGTCTTGGTTATTGCTAAGGTGATAGACTTTTAATGCCTTGTAGTAAGATAGTTAGAAGCTTGCAATGTGCATATTGAAATATCAGCCCAGCAATGATCAAAAGTGGTTTTTCACACTCAAAACTGTGAACTTCACTCTCTAGGTCCTGATAGAACCTTGTGGCAGAGATTAGGGTCTTAGTCCCCTATCTCCAATATCTTTAGGAAATCAATCCATGTTTACATAGGATGGGCCGGGCTATTATTTATATGAATGATAAAAAGTGAGTCTGAATTGCTCTGAAGTTCAGAATATTATAACTAAAAGAGAACATCCAGTCCAGAGTCTGATGTGGAAGTCCGATTGCAAAGCAGACTGAGATGGGCACGGTAGCCGGCAGATATCCTGAGGTAGTTCTGCAAAACTCACACTCTGTGGAGTCTGCAGTTTGGAAATCACTAACATAGTCCAACTCCTCGACTATGGAGATGTGAGAGTTGAGGTTCAGCATGCTAAAGTGACTTGTCCAAGGTCACACAGCAATTATTTGGAGTGTTGGGCCTCCCTGGTGGTGCAAGGGGTTAAGCACAGCACTATGAAGCTATCCGCAGCCTCTGCAGTACAAGTTCAATCCCCGGCCAGCCTGGGAGCTACCCACATGGCACGGCAGGCCTTTCCTGACTCACCCGCTGCTCCCCTCAGCAGGGTATTTCAGTTAGTCTGCCTGTTCTGTTCCCCATTCTGTCTCTGATGAATTCTCTACCCCTCACACCTCTGGCCTGTACCCCAGTTCTTGTGTGCATAAATAAATCTTAAAAAAATTATTTGGCGTGTTGAGAAGAAGATAAAATCCCAAGGTGAGACTTCCCAGAGGTAGGCACCTAGCTGTTGTTCTTCCTCCACATTATAATAGTGCAGATAAAAACTAGGTGGTGATAGCAACCATAGTACATACCTTTTCCAACATAGCAGAATTCTGGGAACTCTAGCCCTAGATCTCCTTCCAGTGAGCTCTCTTGGTAGCTGAGCAGTACATATTTGCAGCAAGGTTATATGGCATGCATTCCGAGAGCTGGGTCCTGGAGCAAGCATGCCTATATCCTATCCTTTTTCCCAGAAAGCTGCTTGATTTCTTTCATTTTCTCATCTGAAAATGTGCCAGGTTTATAAGGTTGCAGAGAGGATCTAATGATAGTGCCTGTGAGTATCTCGTGTGGCTGGGTTCAGGGTTTGTGGGAGTGATGATGGTACCACTTAGGTGGTGCTGGCAGTGCTAAAAGCTGAGGTGGTACTGGTTACTGTTCAGGCTGCTTTGGCATCTGCCTCTTTTTCTGATGTTTGACGTCCTGTTCCTTATCTTAGCTTTATGCTCCTGCTTTCACCTTACTGAAATGGAAAAATGTTGTCATGCTCACTAAATGTAGCTTCTAGAGGGTTCTGGACTGTTGGAGATGCTCCCTGGTCACCCCCATCCTTAGCTTGCTCCCTTCCATCCTTTCTCACAGCTTGGCCTTTGATTCTCTCTTCACGCCAAATTCTCTTCCAAAAAGTTTCTTGCTTGATGGTTCATGGGACTGCCTAGGTGAGCTCTCAAGGCATGCCCCAGACAGGCCTTCCTTGTTATAATTGGAACATGTGGGAGACTTTCAGACTCAGAGAACTCCTCACCTCCCCCCAAATTGCACGCACCACTTACCATGAACTATTCAGGGGAAACAAACTGAAGTAAATGAATGATTAGTAGAAGAATGTGGATATGCTATGAAGCGAATATGTCGCTCTTTATTGTGGTTATGTAATAGGCTGCAGTACCTAGCCCAGGAATGTGGAATAGCTGGGGGTCAGCAGAGTACAATGGGGTCACTATAATGGGGGGCTGTGTGCATGCAACTCCATGGTATACTGAGGACCAGTTCCAGAGATAACAGATAACTGGCCTTGAACTTTTATTTTTTAGCAATCTCTTGGTAGCTAGAAATAGAAAATTAGTTTCTATAGCTAAGAAATAACTCTTTTCAAAAAGCATCAGTAACAGTGGTTCTCAGAATACAGTTTCTGGATCAAGAATATCAGCATCCCTGGGGATGTTACTTGCAACTTCTAGGGTGCACCCCTGGACCTACTAGGTCTTTGGGGCTGGGGATCAGCAGTGACACCCCAATTCTGATATGCCCAAGTCTGAGAGCCACTCGACTCCTGATTTATCTATCTCCCAGACCATGGCTTTGATAGGAAGATGTGTGGGTGGTGGGGGAGGGTGGTTGCTCTGTAAACCTGCATTAGGTGCTGGCTCTTGATTCATCTTTATTCCAAGGTTGAGGTGTCCAGATAAGGAGAAGTAGGTGCATCTGGTTCTATATTCTTTGATCAAAGAATATCTGTAGCTTGTGGATAAGAGAGAAAGGATTGACTGATACATTTTTCTAAAATCAGAATGTTAAAAATGAAAACTCATAATAGATTTAAAAAATCTACTCAAGATATAAACCACATAACTGCTTAAATTCTGTCACTTTTTAGAATGTAACTTCCATTAACATGAATTTTATGGATAATACTATATATAAAATACATATATATACTATAAAAATATGAATAGTAGTTATTTATATACTACATAAATAACTATATCTAACTATCTATATTTATATACACATACACCCCCCAACAATATTTTCCACCAATCTTTAATTTTTATTTTTTGAGGGTATTGAGTATAGCCCTGTGTTACTACAAACTTCTAATATTATCCCTCCTTTTCCTTAAAGAATTTTATGACATATTTATTGTGGTATCAAATAAAATCATTATAGTCATAAGCATTTTATGATACTCTGCATAATCTTTGAAACTATCCTGGAAGTTGGAAACTTAGGGGTTAATAATCCTGGGCTAGACACTAAAGGGTGATTCTCAAATTGGATAGAAAGAAATCATCAGCTGTGTATAAACAAGTAAAAATTTGGGAGTTGAATATATGAAAACCTTTTCTATCATTTTCAGAATTTCAAGTGGGAAATGAAAGAATCTGTACCCCACATTCCATAAAGTGGTAGTTTAACTAGAGATGAGGTACCCGGGGGTTGACAACGCTAGAACATGTGAATGAGCTTAAACTCTTAGCAGATTGCCTGCATCAAGTAATCATTTCAGCACACTTACTGCTAAAAGTTTCAGTTTCCCAAGGAAATAATAGGAACTCTGGGATTTATTGTCAGGAAGTGTGAAATTGAATCTAGACTTTACTGAACTCTATAACTTGAGGCAAATGTCTCAACTTTCTAGGCTGTACTTATTTGGCTTAAGGATTTTTATTTTAGTCTGTAAAAAATGATAGGTGTTGGTTTTAGATGAACAATTTCTGTTTTGCCACCAAAAAATAATTTTTATGTACACAGTGAAATCAGAATTTAGATAGGACAAAGGAGATTTTGTGGCTAGAATTTGCTAGTCTGAACAAATTTTGTATGCTTTTCGATAATCTTTCTTGTAATCTTTTCAGAATCTGGGTTTAGAAAAAATGTGGCAGATTAAATCTTTTGAATTAATTATAGGGCAGATTATCTTTGAAGTTAGAATATGGGTTTTATGATATTTTTGCCTTTAAATATCGTTGGCTCTGGTTGATAGCAACTTTTCTTAGTATATTATTTAGTAGGCATACTGAAAATGTTACTGCTTAGTTTGTAGAATTCACAGGAGCCGGCATGTTCACAGGTATTTGCATTTTATTTAGGTTTGACTGCTTGACTGTATTTTTTAAATGTAAAGTATAATGCTATTAAATCTGAAATATTTTCTTGCAGTGATCCATACGTGAAACTTTCTTTGTACGTAGCAGATGAGAATAGAGAACTTGCTTTGGTTCAGACAAAGACAATTAAAAAGGTATGTCTTCTTCTTTAATTAAACTTTATTTAGTCAAAATGTGACAGTTAAGCTAAGTATTTTGGCTCTGTGTAAGTTTATATTTTAAATTAATGGTGGAAATATTTTTCACTTTAAGGCCTCTCATAATATTAAAATCTATAAATTAAACATAGATCAAAAAATTTTTTGTATTAATCTGATATTGCTTCTGGCTTTTAGTTAAGTGACTATAAAAACAGATTTTTTTATTTTTATTTTTTTTAATGTGGCACCTGCTCTACCACTTCCATTATTATTTTTTTTAAAGATTCATTTATTTTTATACAAGAACTGGGGTACAGGCCAGAGGCATAGGAGGGTGAGAAGATTCATTAGAGACAGAGCGGGGAGCAAGCAGAACAGGCACAGACTGAAATACACTGCTGAGGGGAGCAGTGGGCGAGGCAGGAGAGGTCTGCTGAGCCATGTGGGTTTCTCCCTGGCCAGCCGGGAATCGAACCTGCTTTGCAGAGGCTGCGGACACCTTCACAGCGCTGCGCTCAACCCACTGCGGCACCAGGGCAGCCCAAAAACAGATTTATTTTTAATTGAAATAATATTAGGATATACCCATTAAGACAGTATTGTAACCAGTGTTCCAAGTAGCAATTTTCTCCTCTGCAAAGAATACAGTAAAACAAGGATTTGTTCTTATTAGCTTGTTATTTTTCATAAAGAAATTTAAAATACATTTATTTGAAATGGAGTTGGTTTATGGAATTGGTAAAGACAAAAGGAACGGTGTAACTTGAAATAAGCATTGCCAAAGTAAGAAAAATATTTTCTTAAAAACAAAACAATAATAAAACGAATTGTGTCTCTTCTAAAATTTCACACACAAAACTTCATGACAGGCTTGTTGCCACAATTATACCTTCATCCACCATCTCCATGTTCTTATATACATAGATAAAATATAAACAAGTATTTAAACCATATTTGGGCCATTTATTGAGATGCATGTTTTCTATCAAAAGTGTTGCTTTATCTGTGCTTTAGTATTGTTTATAGATAACTATTATTTTCCCCTCACCACCTTTGGGGGGCAGATAGTCTAACAGTTCGTGTGATAAGCATTTCCTGGAGAGCCGCGGTGGCTTTTTGAAAAAACTGCCATTGTGCAGATGCCCGGGCTCCGTGACCAGGTCACTTTGTGTACGGATCAGCCATCCTGGCGTGTCCGCCACCTGGCATTCGGACTGGCATTACAAATCTGTTTTGCAAACAGGAGCCCGTTTTGATTAGTGGGGAGGATTTGCAGGAAGGACGGAGGCCATTGTTCTGTTAGCTGCTGTCACTGGCTCTGTTATCAGCGGAGCGAGGCGCTCCTTGTCCGCCAGGCAGGCAGGCGCCTGGTCACCAGCTGAAGGCGGAGGGGAGCAGAGAACCAAAGCCAGCGATCTGGGATATTGAGATGTTTTTTCTTCGGAGGGGAGGTCCTCCTCCCTGCTCTCCTCGGCAGAGGGTGTAGCTGGAGCTGGGCTGCTCTGCCTTGCTGGCAGCCAGCCTCCTGGTTAGTATTTCTGTGCTCACGGTGTAAGGACTGCTTTCATCCGCCTCTCCTCGTGGCCGTGTGCTTTTGGTCTTCCATGCGTTTTGTGGTCTCATGTCATTGTTTTTGTCCCCCACTGCCACCCCCGTCATTTGCATCTCGCCCCCTTGCATATCTGTGGAGCTGCAGCCCTTGGCAGGCCTGGGCCAGCCCTCTCTACCGGGCTGCCCAGCGCCACTCCCTTCTTTCTCTGCCCTCCTCTCACTCATTACCATCCGGCTCCATTCAGAGCTAAAAGTATAAACCCGATTATTTAGGATTGGGGTCACTGTGGAGTTGGGGGTGGGGAAAGTGCTGGTTATTTTTAATGTCAGTTCAATAGTGTATGAATTTTTATTTTTTTTTAATTTTATGTGCATTTTGTTATATATTTTTTTCTTCCTGCACTAGTAGGTGAAAGGAAATAAAGACAAATGTCACTCTGACTGAAAAATACCTGTAGTCTGACTAAAAAATACCAGTGAGATTGTGTCTTTTGGTCTCAAATTTTTAGATATAATTTTAATGAGAGGTGTTGATTGAAGAGCATTTTGCAGGTGCACGGCAGGTATGGGTGTATCTTTCATCGTATTGGCTGCCCCTTAGTTTCAAAGCATGTTTGGCAGTCTATCCTTTGTTCATGCTAAGGACAAAAGTATCCATTCTATGTCCTTGTGAGATAAAGATTTAAATTGATTAATATGGAGATGGATGGATGAGTGGACAGAGAGGACTGAAGGATAAGTAGATAAATATTTTCAAGTCTGATTATTTTGAAAAAAAAAAAAAAACAGAATTGACTTTAGCTTGTCATCAGGTTTTTTTTTTTTTTTTTTTTTTTTGGGTTATATGATCTGATCATCAATATTGTTCTTTATAAAATGCTCTTCAGGTTTCAATATTTTTATCAATAGCAAAACACTTTCACTCTAATCCCACCTGCTTCTTTGCTCTCCAAAGCAGATTTGTGGCAGGTTGAGGAAGTGGGCAAAGTTCATTTCCTTCTTGATAGAATAATTATATCAGTGTTAATTTATTGAAAGACAGCCTTATATTTTTAATGATGATGGCTCTTTGTCAGATCCCTGACATTTTCCTGGTTGGTATGGTTTCCTATATATATGAATCATCGGTTTCATAACTAACATCCCTTCTGCATTTTTTTTTGTGTGTTTATAGAATAGTCTCACGTAATTGGCTAAGTTCTTCATGTATTGCCATTTCGAAAATCTCTTAGCTATTTTTTTAATCAAGAAACATGTTTAAGAAAATATGTGGACTGCATTGTACTAGTGACTATTCATGTTCAAAGACTGTAAAAGATATTACAAGATAATTTCTCTTCCAGACGCTGAACCCAAAATGGAATGAAGAATTTTATTTTAGAGTAAGTTCTTCGTTTTTTGGTAGTGATTCTCTTTGATAACCTGATATAGCATCAAAATAGATTGTTATTGAGTGAAAGCTATTTTTATTGTATTTTTTTTTTTAAATATGAGAAATGCCTGGGTGTCCTGAGGTGTCCCAAATTTCCAGACTGTGAATAGTGGTAAAATCTTGACTTATTTCATTTGGAGATGTTTTAGGGAAGTAAAAAAGACAGTTTTCTAAATACCATGTCTTAGCTTTTCTACTCAATTTTTTCCTTAAAAGTTATATAAAATGTAACTAAAGCAATAATTTAATTATTTCTATGAGTCATGGGTCATGAATTATTTTAGAGAAAGAATAAAACAATAGAGGCAAATGACTAAAAAGAAACCTAAAAATTACAAGTCATGTTTGGTTAGGAAGGAAAATTTTTGTAATTCAGGTGTTCTGTGTGAGTGTATCTGTAGGGATAAAATTATTTCTGGAGTTTAAATGTCACTGAATCAGGTAACACTTCTTCAACCTTTTATATTTAATATGTAGAAGAATTATATGTAGAAATGACTGAATTCTGTGAACTGAAGTAGATTACTCTGTACTGATTTTTAGCAGTTGCTGCTAGTGTTTTTTCATACTGAAATTTTAGAAATTTTAGCAATATTACAACACTCAGTTACTTAGTGGAAAGAAAGTGGGTTTTTCTTTCTCTTTATAATGGATAAATTAAATTTTGTAGTAGTGATATTCAATTACTTGATCTCTAGAAGTGCCCCAGATGAGATCTAATGATTAGTGTTGCTTCCCAAAAACCATATTACCATTAGGCCCATTATAATTTTCCTAATTTCTTTCAATCACGGTAGTATTTTTTTGTGCTCCAAACTTGGTCTATATATGACCTCTCTTTTCTCTGTGTCCACAGTTGGATGATGGTATTGGTATTTTAACACTTGGTGAGCCCCTACCTGTAGCCTATACTAGATGTATTGTGAATTACTTCACTAAGGACTGAAAACCTGATCCGCAGATAGATGTGACTGGCCCTTCAATAATTCTCAAGTAGAGCTTCCCACTTGTAAAATACCAGGTTACTGAGCTCCTCCTTTCGGTTGCACACTTTGACCACATTATGTAAATTTTAGTACATACACCTTTTTTTTCAGTTAATGTTGGTTTTATGAAAATGTAAATTCTATACATTAGGCCTTTATTTATTAGACAAATCTTTCTTGAATGTCTATTATGACCAGCTCCTACCCCACCCAGTCTGTGGACGCAGTGGCCAGCAGCCTTCTTGGGGCTTATCAAACACAAACCCTCAGTGTAACTGCCTGCTGCTCCATCTCTAGGCTGGGGCCAGGCAAGGGGCGAGAGCACAAAGCTTGTCCAATGTGCTGTCAAATATATTTTTTTTAATTTTTAAATTTTATATATTTTTTACACCATTTTTCATTTTTGCACAATGTATGCATTTTCCTCTTGGTTATAGTCCCTGTACAATTCCCACCCCCTTGTTTTGATCCTACTCCCTCTCCCCGCCCCCCTCATAGTGTGTCTCTGGTTTATAGTTGCTTGTTGATTTTGATATTATTTTATTCCACTCACCTTCTGAAGCAGTGTGACCTGGGTCACATCTCCTGCTCCAGCGCTTCCAGCCTTTGTGGCCTAGGAAGAGCCCCTGTGGACTCACCTCTGTGGGTTCCTTCCTCTCTCAAGGAGCAGAGAGGAACCCTCACTTGGTAGGGTTGTTTCCAGACTTTGCACGCAATGATGTGAATAAGAACACCTAGCACCGTGTCTCACACTTGTTGGAACTTACTAAGTGACACTCGGGGCTGAATGGTGACCCTGCCATTTTGGTGAGGTTTTGAAAGAGTAAGAAAGAAGCAAAAAGATACTGAAAGCCAGTAGCTTTGACATTGACCCCGCATTTCTGGAAGAGGGGCATTTTTTATTTATTTGTCTCTCTAAGGTTCAAGACATAGGCTCTGGGGACTGGCAGGCCAGACCTGGGCATCACTGCAGCCTCATGGTCTCAGCCCCTCACTTGCAAATTGGGGTGACAGTTAGAAAACCTAGGGTTGCTGTGAGGGTTAAATGAGAGCATGTATTTTTGATATTTATTAAGGAAATAATACCTTTTTTTTAAAAAGATTTATTTATGCATACAAGAGCTGGGGTACAGGCCAGAGGTGTGGGGGATGAGAGGACTCACCAGAGACAGAGTGGGGAGTATAACAGGCAGATTGACTGAAATACACTGCTGAGGGGAGCAGTGGGTGACACAAGAGAGGTCTGCTACGCCATGTGAGTCAGCTCCCTGGCCAGGGATTGAACTCGTGCTGCAATGGCTGCAGATAGCTTCTAAATGTTAAGAGTTAACCCCTTGCACCACCAGGGAGGCCTGAAAATACTACCTTTAAAATAAGCATGTTAGGGTCTCCCTGGTGGCGCAAGGGGTTTAGCACCGCACTATGAAGCAATCCACAGCCTCTACAGCACAAGTTTGATCCCTGACCAGCCAGAGAACAACCCACATGGCTCAGCAGACCTCTCCTGTCTTGCCCGCTACTCCCCTCAGCAGTGTGTTTCAGTCAATCTGCCTGTTTTGCTCCCCACTCTGTCTATGGTGAATCCTCTCACCCCCTGCATCTGTGGCCTGTGCCCCAGCTCTTGCATGCATAAATAAATCTTTTTTAAAAATAAAGTAATCATGTAATGGTAATGAGGACTTTTTCCATTTTCTTCATTATTTTTATTACTGATGTTATAATTTTTTATATTATTATTAGAACTAGGAGATTTCCTCAGGCATAATAGGCCCTGTGAGAATATAACCGTGGTCTACAAGCATGGGGAAGCAATTTAGAAATTTTTGAAAACTATTTAGAATTATCCTTCCTGTGTTAACAAAGCAGCCAAAACATTTTCTTCCTATATGCCTGACTACTGGATGTAGACTAATATAGCAATCAATAACTGAAAATTTTAATTAGTAGGTACAGGATTTTTGAAAGAGTAGATTAATTGTTCTCATTTCAAAATTGAACTGGATGCATTATACATTATAAAGCATTCTATCCTTTGAATTATTTATCCTTTGAATTTTTTCTGCCCATTTAAAATAATACTGTTTATGTTCTTTATAGGTAAATCCATCCAATCACAGACTCCTATTTGAAGTATTTGATGAAAACAGATTGGTAAGTAGATTCTGGTCCTTGATTTTTTGCTTTGTTTTTTATTTATTTATTTATTTTTACCTTTACAGCTCAATTTACTGTATAGAAATCATTTGGGTTTCATGTTAAGTTTTGAACAGAGACTGCAATAGTATGAAAAAAGATTGTTACTTTAATTCAGTGCTTTTTAGCATGCTAAATTTAAATACATTAATTCAAGCTTGAGATATATGGGGAACAATCTTTAAATACAATACTGACATTTCTTAGTTACCATATTATTCCCAAATGATATTTGCAACTCTAAACTGTCATACACAGAACAGTTCTCCTATGGATATGGCAAAATTGATATGCCATAACAGTCAGAATTGTAGTCATTTGATTTATTTTTCAAAAACTGAATATTTAGAGCAGCATCTCTTAACATTCTTATGTATATTGCACTTCTGACAGTAAATAGGCTCCCAAAAGATATTTTTGTCCCATTGCTGGTGCTAACAAATATTTGTGTGTGTGTGGCTAGGACAGAAAATGGATCTGTTGGACATATATGTTTTTATCACAGTTGATATTAGCGGAAGTCACACTGGTGATACCTCAAACTATATGCTTATGCTCTACTGTTGAGAACACAGAATTGTGGCAAATCTATGAAGAGACCTAGTCGTGTAAACAAACCTTTCAGGATTTTTAAATCTAAGTCAGACTAAAACACTGTGATTCATTCAATAGTTAATCTATGGTGACTTCTTTGGGAAAACAAAAATCTAAGTACCAGTATATAGCAAAAAGTGAATTTGTATTTAGCAAATAAAATTAACTTGTATTTTTGAAAGTGGTGCTGTCTCATGGGAGAGTCTCAGAAAGTACCTTTAAGCAACAAGAAATAGGCCTGAGACATAAAACTGATGTATACTTAACATTTTACATGTTGCATAAAAATGCATGCTTATTAACATTTTACATGTAGCTGGATAGTAGGTAGAGAGCTACCTACCTACCTAAAACAGGCATATCTGATATAACTAAGATTTCATTTTAGAATGGAATTTCAAAAGCAAATCTGGCTGAAAGCATTTTGCCAGATTTAACTAGCTAGAATGTTAAATACGCATAGTCAAGTGTTGCAGCCATGAAGATAAACATGCTTATATTATGTGCAAGGGTTTAAGGTACATGCAAAAGTGGGGTTATAACTCAGTGTGGTCGGTTATACTGGAATTGATCTTCTGTAAAACCTCTGTATATTATCTTGCTTAAAAGGAATGGTCTTTCCTTCACCTTCTTTCTGCAGAATTCAAGTGAAGTACTCGATTTTTGAATAGCTTGAGATGAATAGATTATATGCTCTGGAGATGCCTTTTAACAACTCATTCAGCTCCCTGTCCTTGCAAATGATAGGAGTGGGGTCTGGAGCCTTCATATCATTTAAAATTGCCAGTGGTGGAAAACGTGCTGATCTCCTTAGTCTCTGCCTAATGATTTAAACTTCTCACCCTTATTATAGAACTTGAAAATGTATTTATCGCCTATGCTTGGGATTAATTTCCTAAATTAGGAAGCCAACAGATTCTGATCGACCATCCTGATTATCTTTTTCTATGAAAAATATGGATTCTTGGTAGCTTTGCATTGTACTTGGCATTTTCTACCTTGAGTGATAATTAGTAGTACCAAATAACTAAATGTTTGCTGTGTCTAAGAAGTTCTTTTCTTCGTAAATTGGAGGCGAGATTCTGCTTAGGGTATAGTTCTTAGCACTCCATGTCTCCCTGAGTACATGAATTAGGCAGTAGTGTGACACGAAGTCCTCGAGGACATAGTGTGTCCAATCTCATTTATCAAGTATAGTAATTCTCCTTCAGAGAGAAGATAGGGTCAGATTCCTCTTGTTAGGTGTGTTTTAATTCATTATTTGATTCATTTTCTTAAGAGAAAGTCACTACCTAGGGAAGTAAAGTTTCCCATCTCAATCTAAAACAAAGACTGTACCCTTGCCATGGACCCAAACAAAAAAGGGCTTTGAAGGCAGAGCACTAAGAAATCTGGTGTGAATACAGGCTTTATCTGAAAAATCCATGTTTTAGGATATTAATCCCTAGCTTGGTTCCACAGTGTTGTCACTATGCCCTGAATGCTGAGGGTTGCTGCTCTCCCTTTGTTGGCTATTAATCCAGCGAAGACAATACGTGACTGTCGTGGTTCTTGGCAGTTTCAGCATTAAACAAACAGGCTTCCATTGCGCTCATAGAGATCATTTTTGGCATTTAAAACACATGCCTTGAGAAAACAGGTTTGGATGTATGTAAACACAGGGTTAATCCTCCACCCTTGACTCCAGAGCTGTTGACAAAGTCATGCTTTGTGGATTTTAAAATAAACTTTTTCTCATTCTTCGCAGCTTGATATTTTCCCCTCCTATTTTTTCCTCCCTCCTAAATAAGCCTCTGTGAAATAACTGATGTTTCTGGACCATGGAAAATAGTAAGTTGAAAACACAGAGACTATCTTCATGTGAACTGTAAACTCAAGGACAGATGTTTGAACATGTGCTTCTGTATTCTATAGGTCCTTTCTGCAAAAGTAACAAGATTCCATGTTTCTATCCCAATTGTGACAATATCGCTGACTTTTTACTGGGAAACAGTTCCCAGCAGCATTTTTCCTGTGTGGTATTTAAGTTAATTTACTACAAAAACCACATGCACACCCCTCTTCAGCTTACTTTCCCTGGGGGTGCTTTTTCTCCTGTCTAGCAGGTGGGAGAGAGTATTCCCACCAGCTCTGGTACTTCCATGTCTGGCGATCATGTATGTGTGATATCATGCCACATATGGGTCACACATAGGCACACACGTGCACCTGCATTTAAAATACAAAGCCTTTTAGTAACAGCAGGCAGTGCACTAACCAGCAGTGTTGTAACGTGTGCCCCACCCCCCACTTAGCTATTTTGTCACTTGTAGATCATGGTCTAATTATTTAGCATTAAAGTGACACTGATTCTGTGGGATGTGTGATTGTATTTATAGTGTGTTTTATTAGTTGGCATTCCCTGGTGGTGGTGTGGTGATATCATAAATAACAGAGAAACCTAACATCACATGCTGGTGACAGGTTTTCCTGCAGCTCGGGCATTTCTCCTTGTTATTTGTTTGGGCTGGGGGGTGGGGAGCCGGAGTGCATTCCTGTGCTCCATGCCCGTCCCTGGCATGGACCTGCGCGCCGGAGTGCCCGCTGCTTGGGGCCAGGAGCTTGGGTCCTGTGAACGCGATGCCTGCGGGTTTGGATCGACAGCGAGAGCAGCTCCAGTGTGTGTGCTGCCTTCGTCAGCTGCGAGAGCTCCCTGCTGGGGCCACTCCTGTCTGATGGAAAAGCAGCAGCTGGGAAGGTGCTGTTTCAGGCTCTTGCTGTTTAAAAAAGAGAGAGCGCAAGTGAGAGGGGGCAAGCTGCACGGAGCCCACAAGCTGGCATTGGAGGGGGAGGCCGCGGTCATGTGGTCGTGGCCACCCTACCCTCTGTCACAGTGTGGATGAGAGCTTTCTGCTCTTACCCAATCATGCCTGGAATGCCGCTTGCCACTTGGGTTATTTCTGCTATCTGTCGCTCTCAGCGCCGCAGTGCTAACGGTTTGGCAGATGGGACACTTTTTCTTGGAGTTTGTGTCTTTGGTTTTTGACTCCTGGCCGCCCCGGGCTTGCTGGTGTCGCTCGCCTGCGCCCCGCCGGCCTCCTGGGCACCATGGCCCATCGGCTTCGGTTTCATTTTGGCTCTGGTCGCAGCTACACAGCCCCCGAATCGGAGATCCTAGACCAGGAGAGAGAAGACGACTTTTTCATGGCATTCCACACCCTACCGCGGCGGAGCAGCCCGCACCCCTTCGCTCCCAATGGGGCCGAGGATGGCGGCCCCAGCGGCCTGCAGGAAGGCGTGGGAGCGCTCAAGCGCAGCTCGTCCATGTTTATCCCGCAGCTCCTGGGCACCATCGACGCGCGGCCCACCCGGAGCTCCTCGGTGCAGATCTCCCTGCAGCGCAAAGCGGCCGAGGGGGCCCCCGATGGGTGCGGCCCCGCCGAGGGCCTGGAAGGGGATGTGGGCTGCTCGCCTCGGGGCGGCTGCTCGGAGCCCCCGGAGCCCAGGACCCCTGAGCGCTCCCCACCCAGGGCAGCCCGGGCACCCTGTGCCCAGGTCAATGGCTTGTGCGACCGCCGTGCGCGGTGCCCCATCGCGCTCGAGGGCCGCGAGGAGGCCGAGCGGTCGGGCCGCGGGGTCCGCATCCAGCACCGGGCCTCCAGCGCCGACGTGCGCCAGGTGAGGCTCATGCCCTTCGGCGCCGACGGCCAGGGCGGCCCTTCTGCAGCCGAGCCCAGGCGCTGGTCCTTGCAGCACGTCCCAGATGCTTCTGGAAGTACCGGGAAGCGGTGCTTTGTCTTCCAGCTGCAGCAGCCGCCACCTGGCTCCCTGGGGCCCGGGGGGGACCTCAACTTCGGTTTCACGGGCACCAAGGGGGACAGGTTGGTGAGGTATCCCCGTATTCGCCTGGAAAGGAGCACCTCGCACCCCACGCAGCCTCGAGCCGAGCGCGGGAGCCCCTCGGAAGAGCGAGGGCCCTTGGGACACCCAGAGACGCCGCCTCGGGGCCGCAGGGTGGCTCCCGAAATCCACAGGACGAATTCCATGGAAAGGATGCCACAGGGCCAGGGATGCACCTTTAAAATCAGGCAAGATCAAAATGCTGGGCAACAGCATTTCAGAATTCTTGTGACACGGGGTCCAGAGGACACTCACCAGAGACCGGAGGAGAATAAGGCCGCCAGCCCCGGGCCCACGGCAGCCGGCCCCCGGGTAAGTGACAAGGGAAGGCCAGGCCGAAGGGGCTGCTTCAAGCCCAGAAAGCTTAGTCTGCAGCTTTATTATAGCAAACTCCATCCTCTTCCAGTCCCGCAGTGGCTCTGCTTCAGGCCTCTGTAACTTTTTGCATAGCCCCGGGTGCAGTGTTTGGTAGAGTCCGGGCAAGTAGTTAGCTTTTCAGCAAATATTGTTTCTCGAGGTCCTCAAAGTCAAATAACTGTTTTGAGAATGAAAATAACCCCCCCCCATTGCCCCTTCTGAATAAAAGAATTTGTAAAATGTACTGCTTTAACTTGATCTGCTCTGTCCCAATATGTCAATGAAATAGAGCCTGCGAAAACATTTTCCTGTAAAAAACATTTGGTTTGAATAAAGGTGAGAGAATATCACCCAAAAAAAAGTTGGGGGTGGGGAGGGAAGGGAAGAACTTGAGTCTAATCTGTTAATAATTAAGTGGATGTGAGATTTGGTCAGTTTTTTCTAATGGCTGTTTTGCTATAGAGGGTGGGCCCTTGTATAATTTCTTCCTTTTTCTTTTCTTATGAAGTAATATTGAACAAGAGTAGTCACACTTGTGGGACAGTAAAAAAATGTGTTTTTGAAGTAGATTGGCTTATGGGCCAAGGCTGGGTAAAACCGATTGGGACTTGTTAATGGTCGGATTGCATGGCGGTGCAACTTAACACTGCCCACTTGAGTGTCTAAGCCAGGATGCTGTATATAGAATAGTAAGTGCTCTGTGTCCAGCTGTGGAAACAGACGCCCTAGAACAGATTTGGACCTTTATTGTGCCTGTAGTCTTGCTCTCTCCCTTTCAGTGAAATGGAGTACGGAGAGACAGCTGCTAACTCCTCCAGGCAAATGATGACTTTGCAGCTTTCATAGTTTAGAGTGGGATGAAAAGTTTTATCAGCTAGCTTCCCTTTACTAGCCATCACTAACTATTGAGTGCTTTCTTAAAGAACAGCTTCCTTGTATTTTGATGTCACTTTTCCCCTAAATTTCATGTGCTTACTGATTTGAAGATAAAGTTGTGAAATAGCGACAGAACTCGGTATGGATTTCAATTGTGAATTCTGACTTCTCAAAGTAGATGACCTGTATTGCTGTAGAATTGTATTATCTTTTATTGCCTTTATTGAGAAATATTTTTGGCCTTTCAAGTAAACTTGATCCATCACTGATCTTCATCAAATACATATCAGTTGCTAAATGCAAATACTTGATTTTTCTTGGTATTATATAATTTTCCTTTTTTTTTCCCTTCTGCAAGCCCTTTTGTTGGGAAATGTCTGAGTGCTTTGTTTTGTCCTGAACCAATACTTATATTTTTTAAATATGGTACAAATTTTAATAGGTAATAGCTTTTAATCTTTACCCGGAGAAAGCAGCATCATGAACACTGTAGCTTTCATCAGATGCACAACTCTGCTGACCTTGCACCTCTGACCTCATGAAGACTGACAGGCAAAATGCATTTCCTGAAGGTCTGATAACTTCCATCATCTTACCAAAACTTGAGTCATTTTGCAGTTAGATATTGAGGACAAATGAATTTGTATAGTGACAGTCATGTTTGACTTGAAGTTTCTAATGTACTTAGAAAATAAATAGAATCTACTACCCATTCTGTACCTCACATACCAGGGATACTCGCTTACATGGACCACAGTGGAAAACAAATTTCATCAAAAGCTTAAGTTCTAGAAACGGGGTTTGCTGCTTCTTGTTGTTTTGTTGTTTTTAGGAAAAGTCCTATCTAGTGCACTGTAGTTTGTTTTCATTGTCATATATGTGTTTTTGTACACACAGATAAATTAATACATGGTTGGTACTGAGCTGGTTTTCTTTTAAGCAAAATCGTTTTTCTTTAAGAAGCAAAACCAAAACTTGTCACATAGCAAAGCTGTCTGCTCCATTCAGCACTCTGTACGTGTTTCATACGGGCAGGCGTGTTAAGTGTAGGCAGCAGCTGCCACGGCCTTATTTATCTTGAGGGAAAACATTCACTTGGGCGTCTGCAGTCTGGCTGCCACCAGGCCTTTTGGACGTTTCAAATATCTGCTTTGCTCAGAAGGACATTTTGTTATTAGTTTCCATGGAAAACGAACTGAAATTACTTGCAGCCTGGCTTTTGAATGCTTTCAAAAACTTTCTTGATTAAGGACCACTCGGCAATCCTTTTACAAATGTGGTCCTACTTCATGATCTGGGCCTCGTACCTATTACTAGGATGTTGAATGCTGGTCTCTGTCTGTGCTACCCAGATAGCCTGTCTTGAATATGCAACATGACTCCAAAAAATCTTAGCCAGCCAGAGTCCTAGGAAAAAAACCCAGGAGCCTCTTGTGATGATAGATATTTCCACCCAGGCAGATACCCTTGGAAAAGTAGAATCAGGTATTAAGGTCACCGGGTATCACCAGTCATATAATTTCAGGTCTTCAAACTTAGGGGTTCAGTCTGTGGCATTGGTAATAGCTGTTTATGATGACCTTATTTTCTTCAGTTTATTTTTGTGTTATTTAGCCTGCTTGTGAGCTTCTTCACTGCATGAGGGCCGTCCCGAGGAAGCTGGATCACTGTCAGCTCTCACGCGTGCCCTTCCACACAGTTCTGTGCTTAATGACGGTGAGGCTCTGCCTTTTACAAGCTGCAGGCACCACCTTCTAATAGCATTAGTGTCATTCGGGAAGGTTTCAGGCCCACTGTGTATATACACCAGGAACTGGGAAGGTTTCAGGGACTCTCTCAGTTTCTTGCTGACATGGGTTTGTAATATTGATATAAACAGAGGGAGGGTGTTCTCACACCCACTGCCTGTGCTAGTCAGGAAGGAAGACCCCCAGCTTTCCTTCCCTCCCACTTTCTCTAACCTTTTCCCTGTGCTGGCTCAGTGGAAATAAATTTCACAGAAGTAGCATGGTCATCCTTTGTGATTAAAAATTCATTCAACAATAAAGAATATCTGAGCTATTTTTATTTAGGGGGAATTTTTATTTGAATCTAGTTTGAGAGAAGATGATGTTACTGTACAGAAAAAAATTGGCATTAGTATTAATTGATGTCTCTTAACCTAAGAGATGAATCTATGAGTATCCTATGTATAAACCATCCCTTTACATAAAATTAAAGACAATATTATAATGGATAAGAAATAAAACTAGTTTCCTCTCATTGCTTTTTCCTTGGATACAGTAATAATTTCTCTTTTTTATTGAGTTAATATTGGTTTATATCAATATTTATGTATTAGAGGTATAGAATCTTTCCCTTGAGATGTTGTTGCTCTACCACACCTACCAGCAAAACACCCACAGTCCATCCCCATAGTCCTTAATGCCCCCTCCCCATTTTGTTCTCAAACACCTCCCCCCACTCCGTAACCTCAACTATATCCAGCTTTCTAGAGTTTATTGTTAGCTTGGCTTTATCTGCCTCTTTGTCTCTCTATATTCCACATATAAGTGACACCATTGGTATTTAGCTTTCTCTTTCAGACTTATTTTGCTTAGCATTTCCCCTCCAGTTTTATCCATGTTGCTGCAAAAGGCAAGAGTTTCTTTGTTGATAGCTGAGTAGTATTCTATCTTGTGTATATAGCACATCTTCCTGATCTGTTCATCTGTTTTTGGGCACTTAGGTTGTTTCCATAGTAAATAGAGCTGCAATGAACATGGGAATGCATGTTCCCCTTTGAATTAGTGTTTTGGTATTCTTCAGGTAGATATCTAGAAATGGAATTTCTGGGTCAAATGGTTGATCCATTTAATATTTTGTGACACCGCCATATTGTTTTCTATAGGGCCTGGACCAATCTACATTCCCACAAACTGTGTAAGAGGGTTCTTTATTCTTCACACCGTCATGAACACTTGTTGTTTCTGGTCTTTTTGATATGAGCCATTCTCACTAGAGTGAGATGGTATCTCATTGTGGGTTTGATTCGCATTTCCCTGATAAGCGGTGAACATTTTTCATGTGCCTGTTGGCCATATAAAAAATACGGTCCCTTCATAATTTTCATGCCATCCTGATGAAGGGGCCATGCTTATCTTCTCTGTATTGTTCCAGTTGTGGTACATATACTGCTGAAGCAAACACAATTATTTTTCTTAACATGGTCCTCCCGAGAATATTCTAGTATCATGTAACAGAATTTTGAATCTCTTCAGGGATATTTGGAAACATGTAGGCAGACACAGGATTAACACTGCTAAGTGTTTTTACACATGATCACACAACAGTGATATCTCGAGTTTTGCAGCAGTTCAGCATTTGAAGAGTGTTTTCATGGGGGTTCCTAGTCTGTATAACTACCCCAGGTCAGGGACTTTGTCTCTGCAACTGGTCCATCTTCAATAGCATGATTTCTCTGCTCCCAGTGAAAGTGTGGGTTACTGCCATTAAATGTGGTAGCCCCTGTACTTGCTTATTAATCCTCAGACAGACCAGAGACAGAACAACAGACAGGAGTAAATGAAGCAGGTGGCCCATCGGCAGTGGGTCTGCAATGCAATGGCTGCTGTCCCACACTGATGCCATGTCCTGAATTGATGCTCTGGTGACCTCTAGGTACCACCACATTAGGGAGGAGACTGAATTTCAAGAAGCCTGCTTTTTTCATACTAGGAGGAAAGGAGACTTCACCAAGCCAAGTGGAAGTGTCCTAAATTGACTTGGAAGATTTCTGGGTTAGACTATAGTTGCTGCTTATAATTCAGACACTTTGTATAACTTCCTTTAAGGGCCCACCCAAACTGCCTCTTTGAAACAATTCTATGTTTATTTTAGGGTGTTAGGGATGGTGCCTTATGCTCAGTAAGCAGACAGTGAGGCCATCCCTCCAGGGAGGAAGAGCCTGGGTTTCCCCCAGCAAATCTGCCTTTCAGGTCCTTGCAATTGACACAGCCACCGTGTGACCTCATTTTTATTTTAAAGGGGGTCCAGGACTTTCTCTTCTCCCATAGTGTACTTTGAGGAATCTGCTTTCAATCTGTGACCTCATGTTGTTGACCTCATTCTGGGGGGCTGGGGGCATTTCAGGTTGTTACTAAGCATTATAAGTTTTTGATGGTTCAAGTAATTGATAGATTTACAGTTTCCCTTGCTTATGCTCAGTGGGTTAGTCTAGACCTTAAAAATATATTTAATGGCCCATATATATCGTAACTTACATTATAACTCACCCGTTTTCTTGAGACTTTCAAGCTTTATAATAAATCCTACTTCTTGAGAATTTTTTTCAGATTTAAAAATACACAATTAGTATTTAGTTGAGTCTTGAAGGAAGGAAAAAGCTGTTTGGTCCAGATTTTAAATGTTGAATTGTGTGGAGAAGTTGAGGAGGAGCATGAATATTGAAACGTGTGCTTTAAACTCCAGCTAAAAAACCTAGCACTTCTTCAAAGCAGGGAGTTTTCCAGGCCAGGAGTTAAAGCTCTCAGCTCTTTTTAACCTTTCTAAGGAGCTAGCTTTAATATGAACACTGCAGGCTATTAACACAGCTCTGAAATTCTTTTGTACTGTTTTCCTCATGACTGAAAATACCTTAAGCTGAGTCTCTGTTCAGTATGTACTGACTGATTATGCTCTTCCACTTGAGAAAAGAGACATTAAATTATAATATAGCTTTAATCATCTTAATATAATTTTAATATGTGAGGTGATTAAACCTCCTATGGTAGCATTCATGCTTTTAAAATATCTTGATACAATATTCTACACATTCGCGTATTGTTAAGGTGTCCAGGTGCTGTAGCAAAGGACAAAGCAATGAAAATATTTTCTGTCAACAGTGGACCATAAGACCTGCCCGCACTCTCAGTGGGAATTACATCAGCCAGAGGTGCCCCTGTTCTGCAGTATGGCATACATCTCCTGCTAGTGTGCCCTGGAGTCATTTTTACACATATAGCCTTGCAGAGCTGTGAGCTTCCTTAGAAATTATGTCTCTTTCAGTTAAGAGGAAACTGAGCGGGAGTTTTGCAGTTACAGATACTACTTCTTTTATCTCACTGTACAAAATAATTGTTTTTGAATCATGCTGCCTGTGATGCACGGTCTCTCGTGATGAAAGATAAAAACTTGGGAAGTCTGGCTTCTGGAACTGGGTTCAGTAAAAGGGCGAGCTGAGGTGAGGCAGTGCCTGGCATTGAGTCACTATGGCAGTCACACCACAAGTGCTGGCACCCAGGCAACGGACAGGACACAGTGGGTCGTGATGGGCAGGGATGATGTCATGGAGGAAAAGGTTGGAACCGGGTCTGGAAGAAGGACCAGGATTTGTCCCGTGAGCGAATGGGAGGGGTCTCGTTTGGAAGACTGAAGCTAGAGGTGACTGCCAGTCGTAGGGGTGCTGTGTTGCCCAGGAATTTCCTCAATCCTGATTAGCAAGTTTCAACAAATTGTTTTTTTAAGTGAAATGTCACTGAAGAATTTAAAGGGTGTGGTTGTCGGCATGAATAATTCTCTTTCCCATCGAATGTGGAGTTGAATAAATTCCTTCTTTGCTTACTTGCCTTCCATGAAACTGTTTTGTGGGCACGTGGCCAGACCAGGTCAAGGACAAAGACCGTTCCTGCTGTTGAGTGGCAGTAGCAGGGATTAGAAGCCTGTCACTGTCATTGTAATACCATGGGGCCATAACTGGAGCAGAGATGAGTAAGCTGTCTTTATAGGGTTTGACTCTGTTAACTGTTTATATATGAAATGAAGAATTGATCCTGAAGAGCTGGAGAAAAGAATATTCTAAGCCCTTCTCCATATTTCTTTCTTTTTGAAATACTTTAGTAGAAGAAAATGCTCATCTTTACTGTACCATATAGGAACTGTTAATTGTCTTCAGTACCTACACTAAAATATTATATGCACTTAACGATATTAGTGCAGTTTTGTTTAATGCAGACATAATAAAAACAAATCAAAACATTTCCACCATTCAAATGAACACATTCTCTTATTTGTGGACGCAGTCACAAATAATTACAATTCCTAATGTTGATTGGATCTAAAACCTAAACGGAGCACTGACATAAATTCGAGATTTATCTAAACCTAGATTATTTCATATAAAATATTTCACACATTTCCTTTCAGTAAAGGAACAAAAAGTATCAGATCTGAAACGATACTACATTCCTAATCTCGGAGATAGAAAAAGAAACAACTAAGATGGACAGATTCAGCCATAAAACAGTATTGAATTTCTAAACCATGAAGAAAATTAACTCAGGAAAACAACAGATGTTTTTTCTTAGTGAATAATATTATTTCCTCACACAGTATATCTTTTTCAATGTCTGTGATTTTACTCACATATTTTTGCTAACAGATTTGTATGTTGTCAACGTTCTAGTAAATACTAGAAGCTCACTGCGGTTCCCCATTCTGATTCTCCCAACTCTGCTCTGGGATGTAGCTACATAGAAGTGAGTCACATAGGCATGGGTTAACAAGGACATAAAATCTAATCATACAAGTCACATCACATTGTACCTTTTACATTATAAAAAAGGCGAATGACTATAATACGTGATAAGATTGGAGAATTTACGGTTGATATAGTTTACTCAAATTGCTGGTAGTTATATCCTTAGAGATGACTGTGGGTGATTTTCATACACTTATGTATTTAAAAATGATAAGGCAGATGATAGGCCAAATGTATACTAAAAGTCTTGTGTTTTGAAATATGGAGTTAAACCAGAAGAAATTGTACCTCTAAGCAGAAGCCTTTATAAAAGGTTTTTATTTTCTGTTCTTTCAGTAGGTTTGCTTTCTGTGCCATTACCAAGAACAGGTGGATGGAAAGAAATGCTTTTAAAATCACTGATTGCTATTTTAATAGAATTTGATGACTGTAGTTATATCCAGACTTAAGCTGTTACAACCTTTCTTTGGTATATTTGTCACACAGAATTGTAAAATTGGTAATTATGAAATTGGTAATTTTCTTTCATTCAATACAGAGAATAGGTCAATTTAATTTTATGTCTACAGGTACAGAATAGGTAAGTATGAGTTTTATACTTGTGTTTTATATATTTACATTATTTCTTGTAATAATATCATATGCTTTCTGAAACTCACATGCTTAAGCATTTTTAAATGTTTAGTTTTAATTGTAAGTTAATTAACTGAGTTGAGATGGCAATTTAACTTGTTTAATTCACAATTTATAGAAAAATGTGCATATTTCATATTTGTAAATCAGGCAGCTTAAATCCCATTACACTTTAAATGAAGACCTGTTACTTTAAGAGGTAATGCTAGAGTCAGTTTATTAAAATACAGCTGAGGCAGTCCCCAGGAACAAGTGACTTCTGTCTCCAGGGGAACCCGCTGAGCAATTGGTGTCCTATCTGGTGCAGAGCCGTGTTTTACATGACACTTGCAAGCTTCTGAGGGCTGCCTAGAACTTGGGGATATAGAACTCTCTCTGTCCCCCAAGGCTGATCCTTTTATTGAGAAAAAATGGAATTACACATAAATGAAAGATAGGTATTATGGTAACATGCACGTCACCCATTTCAGTGAATGGTTTACTGCTCTCTGAGAGATTCTGATCCAACACCAGCACCTTGAGAAAAACCAGGAAATGTTACTGGTCTCATTAGGGAGCCCTGAATGGAATTCATCTGCGAATCCAGGATATATTAATCTGAGGATCGTGATATAACCCAGATTCTGCAGAGCCAATGTGAGTTTCCAGAAGCCAAAGATAGGTGGACAAGATAATTTGCAAAAAGAGACATAGAAAGACAAAAATTAATCTTGGAGATCAGAGTATCTGGTTGCTTTAATCAAAAAGGAAAAAAAAAAGCATCAGTTCTTTTTTTCACAAAACAAGTACCACTTCTGGGTTTCATGTTTTTCTTTCTAAGCATATGATAGAAAAGCCCCTTGTCACCCTGCCCTCCCCCTCAGTGTTGCCTGTGCATTGAAGAGCAGCCGGAGTGTGAAGAGCTCAGCCAGTGCAGTAAACACAGGCCTGCACCTGACGTCTATCTTCTGGTAATGAACAGAGAAACTGGAGGTTTCCAAGTGTTCATGGTCTCTGTTTCAGTGCCAAGGAAGGGCCTCCTGGAGGTGATGCTGA